CTTTCCTCCTTCACCCGTAGCCCCCGACATGGCCAGCAGCAGCCCGCAGAGCCAGCCCACCATCGGCTTCCCCCGCACGAGGAGCGCCCGCCGCCTCGCTACCCCTTCGGCCAAGAGAGACCCCGACGCCCCTGCTCTGCGCCCTTCTCCGCGTTCCAAGGCCTCGGGCCCCGCAGACTCCGGAAAGGCCACCCCGGACACACGCTCAGGCCGGGCCACAGCGCAGCCCCTGAGCCCCAAAGTGCAACCCCTGAGCCCCAAAGTGCAACCCCTGAGCCCCCGCAAACGCCTGGGTGAGTGCCTCCGCCGGGACCCCCCGAGATCCCTCTTCTCACCCCGGGGTGCTGGGGCAGACAGATGAATCCAGCCCCATCCGGCTCTGGTCCAGCTGTGTCTGCGGCTTCACCCTCATTTCGGGAAGAGCTGCTCCCGCGGGGTTTTTGGGGGTGCTGAAGCACAAAGTCCTCCAGGGAGAGTGGCCCCGTGTGACCATTAGCCTATTGCCCCTGCAGGTGATGACAACCTGTGCAATGTCCTCCATGCCCTGCCTGGCTCCCCAGCTAAACGCAGCAAGGAGAACCAGGGCCGTCGCCTGCTCTTTGGGGACCCCTCAGCCTCCCCCGAGCAGCCCAAGGGCCCGGGGCCATCCCCACGGAGCAGGGGGCCAGAGACCCCTCGGAGCTCGGGGCTCAGCGGGCAGCAGCCACGCACCCGGCTCTTCAGGCAGGAAGGTGAGTGTGGGCAGGGCTGGGGATGGGGTTATGGATGGGATGGGGATGCAGGGGTGGGAGAGGGATTGGGAATATGGATAGGGAATATGGATAGGGATGGTGATAGGGGTAGAGTTGAGGGTTGAGCAAAGGTTGGGGTGGGATGAGGTGGGGGATAGAGCCCAGGATAGGGATGGGTATGTGCAGCTGGGGATAGATATGAAGGCAGGGATGGGGATGGGGACATGGATGGGGATGATGATCAGTCAGGATGGGGTCCCAGCAGTGCCACATCCCTCCCTGAGTCCTCTTGCTCCCCATGCAGGTACCTGTTACCAGCAGGCCAAGCAGGTGCTGCATGCGGCCGTGCCTGACCAGCTCCAGGGCAGGGAGCGGGAGACGGGGATCCTCCGGCAGTTCCTGCGGGAACACGTCCTGGGGCGCCGTCCTGGCAGCCTCTACGTGTCTGGAGCCCCTGGGACTGGGAAAACAGCCTGTCTGAGCCGTGTTCTGCTCGACTGCAAGGTGTGTCCCATGGCCATGACTGGGGGGCTGGGGGGCAGTGGGATGGGGGCCAGTCTAACGTTCCCATTCCCAGCAGGATGAGCTGGCCAGGAGCAGGACTGTGGTGCTGAACTGCATGGCACTGGGCAGCCCCCAGAGCGTCTTCCCTGCCCTGGCACAGCACCTGGGGCTGCCCGTGGCCACTGGCCGGGAGCGTATCCGGAGCCTGGAGAAACATCTGACGGCCCAGGGCCCCATGGTGTGAGTTCCCTGTGTCTGGTGGGCGGAGTGGGATCCCCCTGGATGCCAGGAGAAGCAGGCTGGCAGCAGCTTTGCTCTCCCTGCTTTGAGTGCTGTGAGGGGACAGAGCAGGGGTTGATCTGGGCTCTCCCACAGCCTCCTGGTGCTGGATGAGCTGGACCAGTTGGAGAGCAAAGGCCAGGATGTGCTCTACACCCTCTTTGAGTGGCCCCAGCTGCCTGGCTCCAGGCTTGTCCTTGTGGGTGAGTGTGCAGTGTGTAGCACTGCTGCCCTGGGCACCCTCCCTCTTCGGGGGGGGGTTGATGGGGGCTTCCTTTTGCAGCTCCCTCCTTGGAGAACAGCCCTCATCCTCCTCTTCCTCTTGTCCTGCAGGGTTGGCCAATGCCCTGGACCTGACAGACCGGAGCCTGGCCAGGCTGGGAGCCCACCCAGCCGGCAGCCCCCAGCTGCTGCACTTCCCACCCTACACCAAGGAGCAGCTCACCCGCATCCTGCAGGAGCGGCTGGGGCAGGTGGGGACGCAGAGGGGACAGAGGGAGGGACGTGGGGTCCACACAGGTGGCAGTACTGATGGCCCTGGTGCCTCACAGGTGGCAGGTGACCCCGTCCTGGACTCTGCTGCTCTCCAGTTCTGTGCCCGCAAGGTCTCTGCAGTCTCCGGTGATGCTCGTAAGGCCCTGGATGTCTGTAGGTCAGTGTGTGCCCCAAAACCTGCTTGTGCCAGGGCCAGCTTGGTCCCTGTGAGTCTGCATGGCTTCCCTGCACCAGGGTGCTCGTGCCAGGGGTGCCCATGGCAGGGGTGCCCGCTCTGCCTGGTGCTCAGGGCTGTCCCTCCCCAGGCGTGCCGTGGAGGTGGTGGAGCTGGAGGTGCGAGGCCAGACCCTGCTCAAGCCACTGCCCAAGGGTGAGTCACTGCTGCCACAGCCAAAACCCTGGGGGGGCTCCTCTGGGTTCCCTTTGTGGGGCCCCTCTCTCCAGTACCACCTCCTTTTACTCACTGCCCTGGGATCCTCTCTCTGTCCCACAGGTGACTCCCCATCGTCCCCTGTCCCCAAGCGCGTGGGGCTCCTGCACATCTCCCGCGTGCTCTCAGAGGTGTTTGGGGACCGGCTGGCAAGGGGGTCCCAGGGGGCCCAGGACACCTTCCCTCTGCAGCAGAAGATGCTGCTCTGCTCCCTGCTCCTGCTTGCCCGGCACTCGCACGCCCGCGAGGTGACCCTGGGGAAGGTGAGTGGCGGTGGGACCCTCTCAGGGCTGGACCTGGGCAGGGTGTGGGTGTCCCTGGGGAGTCTCTTGGGTGCTTTGCTGTGGAGTAACCCCCCCTGCCCTCGCCAGCTCTACGACACCTACAGCCAGGTGTGCCGGCGGCAGCAGCTCCTCGCCATCGACCAGGCCGAGTGTCTGTCCCTTGTCACCCTCCTGGAGTCCCGTGGTGTCCTCGAGCTCAAGAGGGCCAAGGAGGCCCGGCTGGCCAAGGTACCGTGGGGTGGTGGGGTAGGGTCTGGTGATGGGACACGATCCAGTGGTGGGACTGGGGCAGAATCTGGCAGCACAGTGCTGAGCATCCCTGTTCTCCCACCCAGGTTTCCCTGATGCTGGATGAGGCAGCGCTGGAGCACAGGCTGCAGGACACGGCGCTGGTGGGCAGCATCCTGGCCCAGGGGCTGCACTAAACCCCCAGCAACCCCCTCCCCATGTCCCCAAGGGGGATTTTGCTGCTGTGGCAAGAGCAGAGAAGTGGCTCCCAAGGTCTTGGACATTTGTCAAGTTCTGCTGTCAGTCTGGGATCTTTTTACTGAGATTTTTAATATAATATTGTTAATGTTATATTGTGATTTCTGCATTATAGGAGCTTAGGTGGGAGGCTGGGACACCCCTCAACCCCTCTGCATCCCCCCCAGCCCCTTTGCAGTGAGTGTTGGGTGCTCCTGGCTCCCCTTGCCACCCTGGTGTGTGATCCAAAGGTCTGGTGCTGCTCCTTTCATGAATCATGGACCGTGTTTGCTCCCAAATCTTTCAGAGCCTTCTGAGACCCTCCAGATCACTCTGGCTCCAGGGAGAATCTTCCCAGTGCCAGCCCTGTTTTGGGTCCTGGTGCTAGTGGTGGCAGAGGGGTTGCAGGGACTCCTGGGGAGGGAGAGGGGGGCTCCCTTTATCTCCCGCCATGAAATAAAGTCTTTTAGGTTCAGCTCTAGCTCCTGTCCCCCCTGTTTCATCCCTGTTCCCCCAATCTCTGCCTGCCCCACGGCTGTGGGGACTGGGCTCCAGCCCCAGCCTCAGCTCCTGGCCCCAGCTCCTCTGTTTCTACTAAATAATGGACGCTTTGACCTAATTTTGCAGCTTCCTCATTGCAGGGGGGTGTTGGGGGCTCCAAATGGGGGGAGTGGGGAGGGATGAGGCTCTGCTTGTGCTCCAAGTCCGTCCATCCCGCCCTGCCTCTGCCATCCCACCCCCAGGACCCCTGGCTGCCCCTCAGCAGCTCCTGGCCAGGGATGGGGTGCTGATGGTGGGGAGGATGTGTTACCGGAGTCCCCAGTGTGCCTCAGTTTCCCTGTGTCCTCAGGGGCTGGCCCTGCTCTGTCCCAGCTCCACCTCGGCTCTGCCCCCCAGCTCTGTGGCATCCCTGCAGCTCACAGGACACAGGGACATCTGCACTGGGTGCCCACGACGAGGACACAAAGGGGAGCCTGGTGAGGCCCCTGGGTGCCACCACGAACTGAGGAGCCCTCACTCCCCCGTTGCAGGGCCAGGGGACACCTTGGGGACACGTCAGCCGCTGTTGGCCGTGGGGAAACCGAGGCAGGGGGGGCACTGGGGAATCTGGGAGCCCCGAGGGCCCCGAGCAGGCTCAGCCCTCGCTGCCGGCACTATTTATAGCCGGCACTGCCATGTGTCGGACGTGTGCGGCAGCACGGGCGGGTGCCGGGGTCAGCCCAGGCTGTGCCCCCTCTGGGCTGTGTACCGGTGCCCTCACCGTGTCAGGGGCCCTGGGGAACCCTGTCCCTGCCCCTCCCCACACCGTGGGGCTCAGCGGGTACCGTGACCCAGCCACCTTTCACCAGGCGCTGGGTACCGGCACGGTCCTGCCCGTGGGCAGAGCTGGGCTGAGCATGGGCTGCCTGGGGGTCCCCAGCTCCCCACGGAGCACGGTGGCCACATCCTGCCCCGTGGCAGCCCCAGGGAGTGACGCAGCCCCACGGCACACGGTGACCTGGCAGTGACGGTGTCAGGAAGGAAGCGGCTGGCAGCGTGCGGGTCCGCAGTGACGTGGTGGTGATGCAGGCAGGCATCCTTCTCCCTCAGTCCCCACGGTTGCTCCATCCCCGGCTCCTCTGTGTCCCCCCATGGTGACGGTGGCACAGGCAGGTGCGGGCAGGCCACGGGGACATCCCCACATCTGGGCCAGACTGGCCGTGGTGGGCACCTTACAGTGAGGCTGGAGCGATGCCAGTCCCGGCACCGTTCCTGGGGTGTCCTGGCTGTTTGCGTGGGGATGGGGACAGCGGGGCTGTGTAGGGGATATGCCCCTCCCGGCCATGCCAGTGCCAGCCCCAGCTCCGCTCTGCCGCAGTGGATGAAAAATCGATGGCGCAGCTGGATCCAGGCGCGTGGGTGCCGGAGCTCCCGCCGGAGCCGTTCGTCACCGC